AATTTTGGAAACCATTTGTATGTAACGGTTTTTTTTTTTTTTCATGAATTTGCCAAAAAAATTCTTTTAATCAATTGGCCCCCAAAAATAGTTCTATTCATATTTTATATATTATAAAATAAATATATATAATATTATAAATTATAATAAAATAAAAAAATTAATTATTAAATAATATATAAAATTATATAAAAAATTATCTCTTACTATTTTTTTTCTTTTACCCATTGCAAACCTCTGACTTTTCCCCATAAATATTTGAAAATTACCCTATTAATAGAAAATTATTATTAATGAGGAAATGTCCATCACAATTGTCACATGGCAGGCCATGACTTTCACACGTAATTATTGTCATCATAAAAAATATTAAAATAATTATTTTTAAAAATTTTAATAATATTTAAAAATATTAATTTGATAATTAATTTTAATTTATTAATTAATAAATATTAATTATTTTATTATTAATTCTAATTATTAATTATTTTTATTAATTAAATTAAATAAAATTATTTATTTATTAATATTTCATAATTTTTGACGACTTAATGTTCTTAATATTCTGGTGGTGGCCATAAACCTGCCTTGGCATTCTTCTAGTAACACTTCAATAAGAGGTCTGCATGATGATTTTGTAGTCCTTGGCACACCAGATTGGTTATTGCTGTAGTTGTTATCACTAAAAATTTTATTAAAGTTATTAATTTTAATAATAATTTTATTAATTTATAATTTTAAATGATTAATTATAATATTTAAAAATATTTATTTATAAATTAAACTTAATACATTAAATAATAATTATGTATTACATCTAATGCTTAATTTTTTTTTTTGAATAATTTGTAATTATTTATAAGATTAATTAAAAAAGAGACGAAAAAAATTCTGTAAGATTCAAACGAGGAATTCACCAAATCAAAAGTAAACAACTTAAGTCAAAATTTAATTTCACTGGACCGGAACAAACCGTTTTGTCTTATGCTTAACTTTTAACTCCGCTCAATTCATTGTGACATGACATTACGTCAGCCTTCTACAACTCCGAGTGGGCATGTGGTGGGCTCCCATCCCATTAATTGTTCGGTGAAGACAAATAAGTTAAAGAGAGTTTTGATTAGGACAGGATCTTCATATTCTAAAGTGTTGAGATTTGTTAATTGAATTTCGATTCCATCAACGTTTTAAAAAAGTTCATTTCTTAAATTATAAACTATTTAAAAAAAATGTGCTGGTTTAAAATTTCCATCTAAAAAAATTATATCTAACCAAATCATAAAAGAAATTCATTTCTTAAATTATAAACTATTTTAAAAAAATGTGCTGGTTTAAAATTTCCATCTAAAAAAATTATATCTAACCAAATCATAAAAGAAATTCATTTCTTAAATTATAAACTATTTTTAAAAAATGTGCTGGTTTAAAATTTCCATCTAAAAAAATTATATCTAACCAAATCATAAAAAAAAAGTTTAATAATTTAATTCTGTCAGGTCAATTAAGTTGACTGACCCCACTCGTGGCCCAACTCAGCTAACCCAAAACTTAACCGAGTTGAGTCAATCTGAGTCTTGTGTCGGTACATACAAATCATAACCCAACTTAATGGAGATTGATGGGATCAGCTTCTCATGCGGGTCCCAATTTTGGCAGCTGTGATATCAACTAATATCTAACAAAAGTTGTAATTAAGTATATGAATTTTATTATTTTTTATTTAAATATGTAAATTTTATTAATTTTTAAGTAAAATAATAAAAATTTAAAATTTTTATTTTAAAATATTAATTTTATTTTTTATTTAAAAATTAATTAAATGATATTTTTAAAGTAATAAATAATTTTTTAATTATTTAATTAATTTTTAAATATAAAATATAAAATTAATATTTTTAAATAAAAAATTAAAATTTTATTATTTTATTTAAAAACTCATAAAATTTATATTTTTAAATAAAAAATAACAAAATTCACATTTTTACCTACATCTCTTCTCAACAATAGCTTAATGTAACAAGAAACTATCTCCTTAGGGTCGTACGTCTTAGAAAATTCCTCCAAATGAATTTGGCCAGTGCACTTTGAGAATTTTAGCCTTTGGTCCCATCACTGCTACATCAGTACAGGAAGATTTGTCCCCCGAGTTGTTTACCAGGGGACAAAACCACATGTAGATCATTTGCACGTGAATTCACTAAAAATCTCTTTAAAACAAGTTGTGTTAATGTGTAAGGGCACTTTTGAGAAATAGTAGTTACTCCACTTATTTTAA